GAACTTTCACTGAAAACATGGATTCTTCAAAGTTGTAACAGTGTAAAATCAAGAAGAAAACTCAGAGAAATTAAAGAAGACAGATGGTAGGATGGCAGACCACAACACAAAAAAATGGATAACACTTGGGGTTTGCAAAAAAAAAAATGCCAGTATTTTTCAGCTTCGGTTATATCAGACCCAAAAAATATGGGTAAATGCTGAATTTCCCCTGTCCAAAACCGGTAAAGTATTCGAATTGGGGAAATATTTGGTATTCCTGAATATATTTGGGTCTGATATATACCACCAGAGGGAAAGGAGGCATGTTAAAATGCCTTCTTTCCCTCTGGTAGCTCCTACAGATTTCTCTGTCAATTTCACTCCCTGCCAGTCAGCTGTGAGTGAAATTAATCAGGGAAAGCCTCTGCTCTCTGCCTTTCCTTCTCTAGCCTGACAGGGGGTAGCTGGAGAATGGCAGGCAGGGAGCCCAGGCATGTTTAAAATGCCTTTCTTGCCCTCCCCGATCTGGGGAAGGGAAAGAAAGGCATTTAAACATGCCCCTTCCCCGACGTTCTCCTCAAAAGCGGAGAGGCTCAGGGAAGGAAGGGGGTATGTCTACATGCCTGCCCTTTTCTTCCCCTCCCCGATCTTGGGGAGGGAAAGGAAGGCATTTAAACCCAACAGCTGACTGATGGCTCAGCCCATTAGGTTTAAATGAGACTTTGTTTTTGGTATAGCAAAATGAACCCGAAAAAAAGCCGGATAGTATCGTCTTTTTTGGGTTCAGCGATACTGGTAGTAATACCCAAAACATACCGACAAAGTATTTTTCGAGTATTTTTTCGGTTCGGCTATTGCTGAATGCACACCCCTAGATAACACTATGAAATTCCACTTCAGAGGAGAAGCTTAGGAAAGGATCAGGGTGTGGAAGGCCTGAAAGGAGACTGCCCAAGCACCAGTGAAAGAATAAAAATTAGTAAGCCAAGTGTCAGAATCTGAAGTAGCAGAGGGCTGAAACCAGAATGTTCAATACCCAGTAAGCATTGCATGTATAACAGAATGAGGAGAGAGTACCTGACAACAAAAGAAAAGAATTTGGGCAAGTAGAACAAGGACTGAAACTGAGATGAAAATGTCTTGTGTTCACTTTTCAACAGAAGTGTTCTTAAATTAGTTTATAGTTTAAAGCAATGAAAGCTGGAAGAAGAAAATCCATACTTAGGTATGGGTTCAGGCATGATGAAGAGCCAAGCTGTGGTCTGTCCTCTCTCTGATAGTTCACTCGACCTGAAAAGTTGGACTGTATTTTTAGAAAATTAACCTTTTTTTAAATTTCTAGGTATTCCCTCCTTTTAGACTAATACCAAGAAAAGTCACATTACTTAAAGGTGCAGTGATTCAAGTGAGTTATTTTTAAGATTATTATTCCAAACTAGTTATTGCTTAACTATTGCTATAAATTTATAGATAGGAATTCTGTTACTGGTGGTTCTCTGAATGGCATCCCACACAGTCTGTCTCCTGTCATGCACACTCCCTGGAGAGCAGCTTCCATGTGGTGTCCTTTATTTAAAACAGAGTGAGCGTAGGGAGGTGCTCCATACAGTTATCTGCTTTTTTATCTTCAAATCTAAGCTTGAGAAACAAACAAAAACTTTAACATTTTTATTAAGGCAAGTGTTTTTTATCATTTATTGTAAGAGAAGAACTACCCCCCCCCAAAAAAATTGTTTTATCGTGAAGTAATTTTGTTTTTGTTTTGTTTTTATGCCCCCCGTAGGGGATTTTTTTTAATTTGCATTTTCTATAAACTACAACAAAAATAAGGGAGGGGATCTATATACTATGGGAGAAAGAAAAGAAAACCCACTAAAAACCCAAGAGATGGTGGTCATACATACTGCTTAACAAATTAGCTTTTAGCTCAAAGTTCGATTTTGTGAAGTTCCTTGAGCCTTCAAGGGTAAAGTGGGTAAAATCAGTAAAATCAGTAAAAGTAAAATAAATTCACATATACTGCAACAAAGAGTTAGTTGCACAGGTTTCGTAAAACTTGCTTATGGTTTTTAGAACAATATTTTTGTATGGCACTTAACAGCGGACCTTGGATAAGCAAATTTTTTTGTGGTAAAGATTTTAGTAGTCTTTTGCCCTACTTGTTTACAAGAGCCTTCTTCTTTTCTTCGGTCTCCTATAGCTCCAATAGCTGAAGGGAAGCCAGGATGTATTTTGTGTTGATGGTTGAAAGAAATTAATTTGCTTTTTTAATAACTGGATACAGGTTATTTCTGAAGGAGGTCCCCAGCCTCAGTCCAACATAATCTTCTCAATGAGCGACACCAGAATTGCCTCTGTGAATAGCAGTGGCCTTGTAACAGGAATGATGATTGGGAACAGTACCATAACAGGAATGGTTCAAGCTGTTGATGCAGATACTGGCAAAGTGGTCGTGGTATCCCAGGTATGGATCATTAAAAGGACCATTTATTACATTGCAAAAGAGCAGTTCTTACATCTATTATTTTTAGGGTTAGTACATGTACAATAATAATAGGTTATGTCAGATTGCTAAATTGTAGATCTCTGTTGTTAGGTCATATCCATACAGAATCATTGTACTTCACTGGAACATCCCACTTGACATAGCTCTGGTTCCAAATAGTTGTTGAGGCTTTCAGATTTTTAGGCTGCTGAGAAAAAGATGAGCAATCGTCTTCTTCCTTTTGCTCTCAAATATATTTGCTGAAAACCAGTTCAGTTAAATTCTATGAGATCCAGTTTTCTGTTCAAGTTAGTGCTAGGAAGCATGGGAAATATAGTTCCTACAAGTGGGGACCCACAATGAACTTGTGGGGAGCAGCCACCGCATTCACCTCACCATTGCCTCTCTCCTCCCACTGTCTCTTCTTCCTTCTCTCTCTGTCTCTTTTTCCATTTCAGTCATGGCTGCTGTCATCCCCCATACTATTGCTGCTACTGTCATTCCATTTCTCTATTTCTGTCTCTTCTCTTCCATTTCAGCCCTGACTACTGTCATCCCTTCCTACCCCCCCACCCTGCTACTGCCATTCCTTCTCTCTCTGTTTCTGTCTCTTCCCCCCCCATTTCCGCCATGACTACTGTCATAACCCCCCCACACACACACTGTTATTCCTTCTCTCTGTTTGTCTCTTTTTGCCATTTCACTTCATCCATGCTATCAGTCCTTTTCCCCACCACATTGTCATTCCTTTCCTCCTGCTCCTTCCCCCCATCTGCCTGCCTCCATTGTGTTCCAGAATTCATGGGGTCGGTGGCTCCTCACCTGCTTGCCTCCCCTGCCCCGTCCCCAGCAGTTCTTATGGTTCCCTGGAGGGCTGTTGTCTTCCTCGGCTTTCCTGCTGCCCTCCAGCTACTTCAGCTCTCAGACTGGGCCTTAAGGAGAGGTCTTCCACATCACCCACTACCTGGTCCTTTTAATAGGAGAGGAAAGAAATTGAACCTGGGACCTTTTGCATGTCAAGCAGCTGCTCTACCACTGAGCCACAGACCATACCCAAAGGTGTTAGCAGCAGGTTGCTAATTGGATACTGTGCATGCTCACTGAAGCAGTGAGATTTGATTCAGTGGTGTGCAGTGGGACTTGATTCAGATTAAAACTGAATTACCATCAGTTTTTTTTTTTAATTCATCAAGTATTCTTGAAAATAATTAATTTTAATTAATCCCACTCCAAACTGAGCTGGGTCCTACTTGAAGCTGTTCCCTAGACCTACTGCTGCTTCATCAAGCCTATGAAGTTGCACGGGAGTAATGCTCAAATATTCAGACACAACTTGGGGTTTGGTAAGGCTTAATAGTTAAACTGGAACATTTAAAAGTCCATAGCAAGACGTGCCCAATATTGTGTGTTTCATTTGTATTGAGTGGGTAAAATGGCCCCTCTGAGGGACTTTAATTATAAGCTTTTGTGTGCATCTGAATAAAGCATGCATGCACATGAAAGCTTATACCCAGAATTAAACTGTGTTAGTCTTAAAGGTGCCACTGGACTCAAACTTTGTTCTGTTTCTTCAGACCAACACAGCTGAAGTGGTTAAGCTGTAAGGGAAAAGCAAATACCACGCTTCTCTAGAAGATAGTCAAACTAAGGCAGCATTGTATTGTCCTTGCAGCAGCTTGGTGAGGAACTGCTGCCTGTTCAAGAAGCAGGGAAGAGCTCTGTCTTCCTGTCTCCTGCAGGGTGAAGTACTAAAATATTATAGAACAAAACTTAAAGAAGAGGAACAAAAGAAGAAGAATAGTGCGGAACATAACGAGAGTGATATTATTTATCACTACCATAAAGTGCCTTTATCTTCTGTCTTGTGACCTCTTTTCTCCTTTATTTATTCAAAGAAGGCACACTTTTTTCCTGATCTTCTTTCACTGGTGCCATTCACTTACACTAGAATCTTGAGCAGAGGCTGTTAAGATTTAGCACCATTGCTGTACAGTATATCCTATTGAATAAGCATGAAGAAGCCTCCCTCTTTGTGCACTTGTCAGTTATTTTATAAGTCAACAGTGAAATGTTATTGGGGGGGGGGTTGGTTTGTGTTATAAACTATACACATAGTGTGATGTGCACATTATTTTTTTAAAAAAATACTAGCTAGTGTTATCATTTTATAAAATGATATTCATAAGGATTTACAGTCCTTATTCCATTCAACTCCAGAACAACCTTGTACAATATGGTGTATTTATTCCTGTCTCAGATGGGGAAGAGAAGTTGAGTGATAAGCATTTTGAACAAGGTCATCCAGTGAGTCTATAGCTATGCTGGAATTTGATCCAAGTTCAGCACTTGATTTATAAATTTTATATCAATTCAAATTTAAGAATCCATCTGCATTCTCTTCATCTCCATCTGTCCTTTTTCTGTCTCATAAATACTTTTTAAATGGAAAACACTGATTAAAATGCCCACACAAACCTGAGTTCCTGCATCTGATATCCTGCTTTCCTAATACTATAGAAATTAAATCCTATTATGTTGACAGTATGGCTTTCCTTGGGTTGATTCAGATATGCCATTTAGGGACACTTCAGCTGACTCTGATCTGTCATTGAAGTTTTTATAGTGTCACATCTGTGTCTCTCACACCTGTTATTTCATCCACTGGGTTGACATATATCTTTTAAACTTCAGTTTGTCTGCAGATTTATTTTAATTCAATGAATAAGAAGAACTTAAAGTAATACCATGATGCACAATAAGACTGATGTCTATATTTTCTGTATTAAAAATCTGAATTTTACATTATGCACATTTACATTATACACATTTAAGTTCCTTCCTTAACCCTTTGTCAGCTATGCTACCATGGCAGTGGGAGGGGTCAGATGACCTGTGTACAAAGTACTGTGGCATTCCTTCTGTGCCTCTTCTCTGCTGTAACGCTTGCTTATCTAGAGCCATGCAGGTGGTGTGGTGTCTAGGAGTGAGGGAACCGTGGGAGCGCTGTCTGTTCCCAGCTTTGGCTCAAACGGTCTGGGGCTCCTCCTCCCGTGCGCGGGAATGTGGCTAATTGGCCCAAGGAAGTGGGGGGGTGCAAACGAATACCCTATATCCCATTATGCCTTTGTTAATGCATCTATAGCTCTTCAATAAAGTATAACCTTTCTGATAAGCGTGTACTCCATTGTTGGCTGTGGAACCTGACGCCCTTTCAATTAATTGTACATAAATGATGTTTTTGGAATGAGTAAGTACAGTTCACTTGACATGAAGTTTTAGTGTAATGTTTTGCTTTCTTTTCATTTTCACAGATTGCATGTTTAATTTGTAATCCACTTAGAAGCCTAGATCTAAAGCAGACCATACATTAATAAATAGCATTGCAGTATCCTTCATTTAAAGGTAAAGATTTCCCTTGCTCAAAAGCTAGTCGAATCGGACGCTAGGGGGCGGTGCTCAACACCGTTTCCAAGCCAACAAGCCAGTGCCATGCAAAGACATTTCCATGGTCATATGGCCAGCATGACTAAACGCCGAGGCGCATGGAACACTGTTACCTTCCCTCCGAAGTGGTACCTGTTTATCTACTTGCAGTTTCTTGCTTTTGAATGCTAGGTTGGCAGGAGTTGGGGCCAGAGATGGGAGCTTACTCCATCATGTGGCACTAGGGTCTCGAACTGCCAAACTATAGACCTTCCAGTCTGCAGCTCAGCTTCTCCGCGGCTTATTGACATTTCTGCATTTATCCCTGTATGTAAAACAATTGATTCACTTAAATCCTGCTAAAATTAAAATGCAGCTCTCCGTTTGTGTCTTTCTCTTAGGCCAAAGTTGACATTGAGGTAATTCAGCTTCAGGCTGTTAGAATCCATGCACCTGTTACACGAATGAAAACTGGCACTCAGGTTAGTTGAATTACAGTTATCGGGGATTTCAGTCCCTCTCCTTTGGTTACCACATGTTGATCAAATAAAATAGGAACTTGGTGACATAATGTAGTTATTGATGACTGCATGTGATTTATTAATGACATTTATTAATCTTTTTCATGCATATAACTGTAATGTTAACAATCAATCACTTTGTATTGTTTTTCAAAGGAAGGAAGAAAAAAGCCAGCTCTCTTTTTCTCTCCTTTCAGATGCCAGTATATGTGATGGGTATAACCAGCAATCAAACTCCGTTTTCATTTGGAAATGCAGTGCCTGGATTAACATTTCATTGGTCTGTTAGTAAAAGGGATATTCTGGATGTAAGGGCAAGACACAGTGAGGTGAATTCATAATTTACATGTGATTAATTTTGCAAAGATTTTCAAGGAACAAAGTCTGGAGAAGTGTGATTGGGACGAAGTTCCTTTTGTCCTTTACTCAGGGCTGTATTTACTTTGATTTAATGTTCCAGATGTAATTGTTGCTTGTTTTCTTTGCTTATCACCCTATCATGCTGCTCCTTCCCATTCTACCTTGTGCTTCTGATGGCCATATTTGTTGCTGAAAATATAACTGGTTCAAACTCTTCCATTTCCTTTTATCAATTTGTTCAATGGTCCATATTCTACCTTTCCTTGTGGACAGAGGTTCACAACATAATAAAAGTACACTTCAATAAAAATTAAATTCAGGATTAAGCAACAGTTAAATTTACAAATGTACAGCTCCTTTCTCAGGTGAATAAAAGAAATACAGCCTTTCAAAAAGTAAACAGCAAAGTTGTATGCCTAACCTCTATGGGGAACTGATTCTAAAAGTGGGTGTAGCCATTTCTCAGAGTTGAAGTTTTGGCTTCGTAGTAGAAGAAAACCACCAAGGTACGGTATAGGTAATCTTGAGGCACACCTCTTGAAGCACCCCACATAGAGCATAATACAGTAGTCAGGTCTGGAGGTTACTGGTCATGGATCAGTTGGAGTCTTCATGCAAGATGAAGATGGGAAAAAGTATGTTTGAATGCCAGAGTAGGGGTCTTTATATGCCAGCATGGGATAATGACATAAAATCCTCACAGGTGCTTAGGACTCTCTGAGGACACGCAGACATCAGTGGCTTGAATAAGGGCAGGAATTTGCTACCACTCCCTGGGACTCCTTGAAATCCTTTTTTAAGTTGTACAGTATTTCTGAATTACAGTGGAGGAGGGGAATTGAAAACAACCCTAGTGGCTCTCTTAAGAATTTACAATGTTTTATGGTGACAGTAAGTTCTGTTGGTGGGCCTGGAATCTGGATCAAAAAGACTGGAAATGGGAAGTCAGCTCCAAGTAGAAGTTTTTTATTTTCTTGGGTAATATTTTCTCTTTCAGACTTCTCTTCAGCTTTCAGCTCAATATAATTTTGCCATGAATGTTTACAGTAAGGGCAAAGGAAGAACAGGCTTGAAGGTTATTGTGAAAGCCGTTGATCCTTCAGCAGAACAATTTTGCCACATGTTGAGAGAATTGTCAGATGAAATCCAGATACAGGTATTAATTGACTTATCCATGCTAGCCCAAATGCTTCAGACTTCCACCATTTTTGCTGTTTCACTTAGTCCCAATGCTACGCAAAAGCTACAGCGTTCAATGACTCTGGCATCTCCATTTTAATATATTAACTACAATGCAAGTGCTACTGACTTCACTGGATCTGACTTTGAAAAAAGTGTGCTTAGTATAAGAATGAAAGTAATTACACTGAAAATGAAAATTTTACATAAATTGAATAATCAAAGTTGATTGTGTGTAAATACGGTCCAGATAATATATCAGGGTTATTTCTGAATATTGTAAAACTAATTATCTTCTTTGTGGTCTCTGTGCATCACACCTCTGGGATATAGTGCGCCTGCGCTGACCTTGATTGAACGCTCGTCACCTTAGATGCGTTGGGCCTGAGGGTGAACCTGAAAAAGTCAATGCTCCTTCCTTCATTGAGAGTCCAGTTTATAGGAACAATTTTGGATTTGACTGTCTGCCAAGCCTTTCTCCCTCCCAAAAGGGCAGGAGACATTATCGCTCTCATCATCCTGATAAAAACACAGGGAGATGCATCTGCAGAGCAGATTCAATGGCTCTTAGGTCTGATTGCCGCCACCACAGCAGTACTTGCCTTTGCCAGACTACAGATGAGACCACTTCAGCTGTGGTTCCTCAAACGTTTCCATCCACAGTGGCAGCCCCAATCTCAACGGTTCGTGCTACCTGTACAAGTGCTGACTTTCCTACAGTGGTGGGAAACTCCAGACCTCCATTTCTTGCACCCAGCCCCGAAATTACTCTAACCACAGATGCATCCCTGTGGGGATGGGGGGCTCACCTCCAAGGTGTGTGTGTGGGCGCCAAATGGGAACCTCATGTGGCCCACAAACACATCAACTTCCTGGAACTGCTCGCCATCCAGTATGCCCTAAGGTCCTTTTGCCACCTCGTGGCTCACCGTACGGTGGCAATCCTGACAGAAAACACCACCGCACTGTGTTACCTGAACAGGCAAGGCGGGACAGTATCCAGGGGACTCTGTCGACTGGCCCGGGAGATTTGGACCGAGTGTCAATCCCGGGGCATGTTCATCATTGCTGTTCACCTGCCAGGATGGCTCAGTGCGGACTTTCTGAGCAGAGGAGGTGCATCCCTCCACGAATGGGAGCTCAACTGGGCTTACCTCCAACCAATTTTCCACAGATGGGGTCACCCAGAAATCCATGCGTTAGCGATGCGTCAGAACGCGAAGTGTCATCTGTTCTGTACCAGGGCAGGACAGGACCCTCTGTCTCTGGGGAATGGCCTTTTGTTCCCATGGTCCCACAGGCACATGTACCTGTTCCCACCAATTCCTCTACTTACCAGAGTGCTGAGCAAGATCATGAAGGAACAACTTCAATGCATCCTCGTGGCACCATGGTTGCCACGTCAGCACTGGTTCTGAACTCTACTCCACATGTCCCGGGGCACATACATACATCTCCCCCCAGCACCAGATCTCCTCCTGGCTCAGAAGGGCCGAGTGCTTCACCACAATGTACCACACCTCACACTCATGGCGTGGAGTATCCCCTAGCACAGCTCATAAACAGGATAGACCTTGTTCTGTTGAACTGTTGGAAGCCAGCTACACGCACTTCTTATGAAGGGAAATGGAAGAAATTCCTGTCTTACCTTGAGTTGTTGGGTTTACCACCGCCCTCTATGGACTTGAGGGTAGTTTTCGGATTCTTGTTGTCCCGCCTGGACTTGGGTCTTAGTTGCTCCTCTTTAAGAATCTGTTTAGCCGCCATTTACGCCAATCATCCTGCGGTGGATGGCTACTCCGTTTTTTCTCACCTGCAAACGAAGCACTTTTTGAAGGGCCTCACTCCTCTTTCCTCTGGCTTGTGGGCCGACTCCCTCCTGGGACTTATCTCTAGTACTGTCCAAATTAACAGGCAAACTGTTTGAGCCCATGGCCATGTCTAGTCTGCAGCTTCTTTCATGGAAGCCTGCCTTCCTAGTAGCCATTACCTTAGCAAGACGAGTGAGCGAATTGTCTGTACTCCGTTGCGATTCTCTGTATTTGGTCTTTCACAATGATGGTGTCACCTTGGCCCTGGATGTCTCTTTCCTGCCCAAGGTTGTTTCCAAGTTCCATTTGTAAGTGGACATTGCTCTTCTGACGTTTTCCCCATCCCCTACGAGTGACAAGGAACGCCGTCTTCATACCCTAGACATCAAGAGAGCCATACTTTTCTACCTTGATAGGACAGGGTCATTCCGTCAGTCACCAGCCTTGTTCATCTCCTATAGCACACCTGTGCTGGTTAAGAAGCTTTCTTCACAACAGCTATCCAAGTGGATTGTGGAAACCATCAAACTGTGCTACTTACTGGCCAAACGGCCATGTACTGGCCCCAGTGGGTCTGATGTGGGAGCAGACAGAAGTTCCACAGGACAGCCAGGCAGAAGGGACCGGATAATCACTCACAGTACAGGTGCAAGGTAGGAGAGTGGTCAAGAGGCAGTCCAAGGGTCAGGTATCCAGAAAGGGGAGTCGTCAGTCAGTCCAAGAGTCAGAGGTCCAGAATTCAGGTGATCCAGTGTTCAGTCCAGGGTCAGCGTAACAGAGGTTCCAGTCAGCAAGTCAGGAGACAAGTTGGGTGGTAATGCAGCCGTAGTATACGTTGCGTCCACAATAAGCAGCTTCCCCTGTCCTGGATTTATAGCTGACTCTCCCTGGGCTGGTTAGCTGCTGCTAATTGTGGCACACATCCCTGCAAGTACTCATCTGACGACAGGTGCCTGCGCTCCATCAAACGCTCACTGCGATGGGTTCTGAGCTCCACTGACGGCGACAGCACTCAAGGGGTGTTGGAGAAACACTGGGCCCAGCCTCCTCCCTCTCCTCTGTGTCTGATGCCGGTAATTCATTCCAAGCTGGAGGAGAGGGCAAATTACTTACAGCCAGTGTGTGGTCAAGAGCTTGCATCTCCTGTCCCTGAAGATTAATGGGATCTATTGCAGCTGGCTATTCCTCCCCCTCTTAAGAGGAGATATCATTATCAGGCTGCGTACCTGTCCGGTCAGGCTGGGAACAAGGGAGACGTATGACAGGCCACTTCTGGGCCTGCTCCAAGCGCATTCCATTCGGGCAGTAGCCACGTCCACAGCCTTCCTGAGAGGTTCGTCGCTCACTGACATCTGTCAAGCAGCAACCTGGGCTACCCCCCACATGTTCGTGAAGCATTACACCCTGGATGTGCATCTTCATCAAGGTTCCGTGGTGGGATGGGCAGTATTGCAGGCGGCGCAAGTCTAGGACCTTTTGCTCCCTCCTCCAGGTAGGCCTGTTTTTTGCTTGCTAATCTCCCAGAGGTGTGATGCACAGGCACCACGAAGAAGATAAACAGGTTGCTTACCTGTAACTGATGATCTTCGAGAGGTCATCTGTGCATTCACACCACCTGCCCTCCTTCCCCTCTGCTTTCAGTCCTCTCCTTTTTATTACTCTGAGACTGATGGCAGCGGTCAGAAGGAACTGGCAGGATGGTCTTTGTCGTGCCCCTCCCTTGGTCATGCGCAGTGGGGCTGGCACGTGACTGGGGAGCGGGCGCGAAAATCCCTTTCGCTTTCAAGATGAACCGATCGAGGTCGGCACAGGCGCACTATATTCCAGAGGTGTGAATGCACAGATGACCACTCGAAGATCATCAGTTACAGGTAAGCAACCTGTTTTTCAATGGACTTATGCTTAGGGCTTTTTCATGTGTGCATATATTAAACTTGCATGTATGTGTAAGTCATCATAAGGGACTGGAATGCTAAAGTAGAAGTCAAAAGGTAACCGGAATAACAGACAAGTTTGGCCTTGGAAAGCAAAATGAAGCAGGGCAAAGGTTAACAAAGTTTTGTCAAGAGAACACACTGGTCATAGTGAACACCCTTTTCCAACAACCTAAGAGGCGACTCTACACATGGACATCACCAGATGGGCAACACCGAAATCAGATTGACTATATAATTTGCAGTCAAAGATGGAGAAGCTCTATCCAGTCAGTAAAAACAAGACCTGGAGCTGACTGTGGCTCAGATCAAGAGCTACTCATTGCAAAATTCAGACTTAAACTGAAGAAAATCGGGAAAACCACGAGGCCATTCAGGTTTGACCTAGATCGCATCCCTGATGAATATACAGTAGAGGTGAAGAATAGATTCAAGGGTCTGGATTTGATAGATAGAGTGCCTGAAGAACTATGGACAGAGGTTCGTGACATCGTACAGGAGGCAGCAATCACCACCATACCAAAGAAAAAGAAATGCAAGAAAGCAAAATGGCTTTCTGATGAGGCTTTACAAATAGCAGAGGAAAGAAGGAAAGCGAAAGGCAAAGGCGAAAAGGAAAGATTTACCCAACTGAACGCAGATTTCCAGAGAACAGCAAGGAGAGATAAGGAGGCCTTCCTGAATGAACAGTGCAAAGTAATAGAAGAAAACAATAGAATGGGAAGGACTAGAGATCTCTTCAAGAAAATTGGAGAAATCAAGGGAGCGTTCCATGCAAAGCTGGCCATGATAAAGGACAAAAACGGTAGGGACCTAACAGAAGCAGAAGAGATTAGGAAAAGATGGCAAGAATACACAGAAGAACTATACAAGAAAGACCTCAATGTCCTTGACAAACACGACGGTATAATCACTGACCTTGAGCCAGACATCCTGGAATGTGAAGTTAAATGGGCCTTAGAAAGCATTACTAACAACAAAGCTAGTGGAGGTGATGGTATTCCAGCTGAGCTATTCAAAGTCTTAGAAGATGATGCTGTTAAAGTGCTGCACTCCATTTGCCAGCAAATTTGGAAAACGCAACAGTGGCCACAGGATTGGAAAAGATCAGTATACATTCCAATCCCAAAGAAGGGCAATGCCAAGGAATGTTCAAACTATCGCACAATTGCACTCATATCACACGCTAGCAAGGTCATGCTCAAGATCCTACAAGCTAGGCTTCAACAGTACGTGGATAGAGAACTACCAGAAGTACAAGCTGGGTTTCGAAGAGGTAGAGGAACGAGAGATCATATTGCCAACATTCGCTGGATTATGGAGAAAGCAAGAGAGTACCAGAAAAATATCTACTTCTGCTTCATTGACTATGCTAAAGCCTTTGACTGTGTGGATCACAACAAACTATGGCAGGTCCTTAAAGAGATGGGAGTACCAGACCACCTCACATGTCTCTTGAGAAACCTGTATAAGGGCCAAGAAGCGACAGTTAGAACCGGATACGGAACAACTGATTGGTTCAGCATAGGAAAAGGAGTACGACAAGGATGTATACTGTCACCTTGCTTATTTAATATATATGCAGAGTACATCATGCGAAATGCTGGCCTGGATGAATCACAAGCGGGAATTAAGATTGCTGGGGAAAAGATCAACAACCTCAGATATGCAGATGATACCACTCTAATGGCTGAAAGTGAAAAGGATCTAAAGAGCCTCTTGCTCAGAGTAAAAGAGGAGAGCGCAAAAGTGGGCTTGAAGCTCAACATCAAAAAAACTAAGATCATGGCATCCGGCCCCATCACTCCTTGGCAAATAGAAGGGGAAGTCGTGGAAGTAGTGACAGACTTCACGTTCCTGGGATGCCAACTTCAGAGGACGGCGGAAGGCCTGGCGTGATCTGGTCCATGGGGTCACGAAGAGTTGTACTCGACTGTGCGACTGAACAACAACAACAACAAATGTTTGCCTTTAAGTAAAAAATAAGTCCCTTTAAAATATATGCATGAAATGCCATAAGCATAAATGGTCTGAGTTTAACTGCAGTGAACACAAATTCTCAAGTTATTCTTTCAATTGCGTAGAAATAAAAACAGGGATGTGGCAGAGATTATCAAGGCAGCTAGGACCTGATTTCATTATTTCTTCTATCAGTTGCATCTGCTTTTATCAGGTACTTTATTTAATGCTAACCAATCTGGAAGCAAAGAAAAAGTAGGAAAAAGCATGTATAGACTGAAGGATCATAATAGTAAGCCTGGATTGCACCTTACATTCAGCGAACCATAAATATCTCATGAGTCATGATACCTTGAGATTTTACACATACAGCATTATATTCACATTTTAAAAATCACAGGTGACTACATGAAATCACTGAGATTCCATAATGGTCCCTTTTCATAGAATCATAGAGTTGGAAGAGACCTCCAGGGTCATCTAGTCCAACCCCCTGCACAATGCAGGAAATTCACAAATACCTCCCCCCCACACCACCAGTGACCACTGTTCCACACCCAGAAGATGACAAAAAACCTCCAGGATTTCCAGCCAAACTGGCCTGGAGAAAAATTGCTTCCTGACCCCACAGTGGCGATCAACATTGCCTGGGCATGTAATAAATGGCATTTTAAGTGGCATTGTTAGGCCATGCTGATATTAACACATATCTAAAGGTCTTTTTACAGTAGGTAATACAACTAGGAGATGGAAGTTTCATGATCAGCCCTAATTGTAGGAATATCATTTGCTACTTATATTCCATGTTAGCAACAATGGAATAGTAATTTTTAAAATGATAAATACTATACTGAGCAGCAAAGACTAGTTGTCTTCACAGACTTTACGTGATAGTGTTCCCAAACTCTGCAAAGTGGAAGTAGTTATTAACATAAATTACTACTCAGTATACTACATGAAACAGATTTCTCTTTTCATATTCCTTTTAGCATGGTGTGGTGCGCACTTAAGACAAGCAGTTGCAGTAATTTAAGAATAAATTAAGCATAGCTTGAGACATGAGTCTGGAAAGTGCTTTTAATATTTGGGGCTTTCAACTGCTAGTACGATGGAGATGAGTCATGCGATCCTTAGAATGCAGTCAGCACTATACTGTGCACTTTCTTAAATCTGCCTTTTTTTAAAAAAAAAGCACGAGTTGACAAGTTATGCTAGAAGAAATATTTTTGACTTCGTATTGCATGCTGGAAATGCTTGGTAGTTATCAACTTGTAGATTGTGGTCCACTAATGTGCAAAGGATCTGCACATTAACCATGTTTGCTGTCATCCTATTTCCTGTTGCTTTCTCTCCAAAATTTAAATATAATTTTCCTTCATTATATCCCGTATCATAGCTAATATGCTATATTTGCTCAGAATTCAGTAATCCTAGTCCCAGTACATTGCTCATTCAGTGTCTCCTCATATTGATTGTTAGATGTATCTTTGTTTGGACTGTTATCAATTTACACAGAGTAATCCTCTTTGAGTTTCAGTGAGTAAAGTGGACTGTAAGTACAGTTAATTAATTAAAAAGCACAAATAATTAATAAAAAGCACAAATCTACTCAGAGCTCAAAGTGTACTTCCAGCAGAACAGCCATATGGTCATAATAGTGAAACTGTTCTTTTAAAAGCAAATATACAAAGGGTCAATGTCATTATAAGAGTATAAAGGAGGAAATAATTCTGCTGAGATGCTAAGCATTTATGATATTTACAAATTACCATTGTTCAGGTCAGAAGTCGATTAGTAAATCCCTAGTGTTTTCCTTTAAACTGTTGTGATATTCTAGTTAGTTCTGATTTGGATGGATGTTGAACATGTTTGTAGCAAGTGGGATGGTCCCACAGGGCCCAGTCGGCTGCAGGGAATTGCCAAGGGCTCTGACAGGAAAAAAGAATGCCCAGGCCAGTAGTGATTATCTGCCACTGGAGGAAGGGATGGACCAAACCTGCCTGCTGGGAACTTTAAAAGCCAGTCAGGCTAAGGACGGGAGCTTGAAGCAGCAAGAAGCCAAGGGCTGCCAAGAAAGCAGCAGGGTTGACCAGAAAAAGAGGCAGAGTCAGTGGAGACTCTGGGAGTTGGGAGACTGGCAGACTGGAAAAATTGGAGGCCAATTAGGAGCTAAGAAGGATCTCCCAAGCAGTTTACTAGGAGAAACCTGGTCTGAGGCCTTGGGAAACTCTTACAGTGTTGCTACTACTTCATAAAATAAGAGATAATTTTTATTTTATTTTCTAGGTATTTGAGAAACTGGTGATTCTTAATATAGAAACAGAACAGATCTTAATGTCACCAAACTCTTTTTTCAAAGTTCAAACAAACAGGTGAGTATCTTCTTTTTTAACTATCATTTCTCAATTAGAGCTTGTAAAGGATTTCTACTGCTCAGGAGGAACCATTCTTCCTGTACTCCAGAGGACCACCATCCCTTTCTCCAGCTTCTGCTGTTTTAATTGTTTTCCTGTTTTAATTTTGTTTTCCTGTTTTTCAATATAAACTGCTTTCATAACCTTTTTGTAACAAATTAATTATAGAAGTAACTTAAGTTGCTAATTAAATATAGAATGCAGTAAAGTCCATTGCAAAATTGAAGATACACAGAAATTTTCTTCCATTTATTGAGATATAATCATTAAGGGTATATAGTTGGGGGGGTGTCTACCCATTTTGTTTCTGCCCTGCCTCCGTGGAGCTCAGGGCAAAAGATATAGCTCTCTTCTCACAACAGCCCCTGTAAAATAGATTAGACAGAGCAAGAGTGACTGGCCCAAGGTCACCCTGTAAACTATATGGGTGAGTGGGGATCTGTACCCAGGTCTCCCTTATCCTCATCTAATGCTCTAATCACTGCGCCACACTGGCTTTCTCTGGTGGCAACTACTTAATGGAATGCCCTGTTCAAGGAGATCTGTCAGAGACCTCTTTATCTTTCTTCCACTAGCAGGTAAAACCTAATTTTCTTACTAGCAAGAACTCACAAATATGTGTTTACAACATAAACATATATAATACGTTTATGTTTTTAATATTTTATGCTGCTTTTAACAGAGTTTAATATTGTTAGTATCTTAGTCTTTAAACTATATTTAGTTGTAACATTATTGCTGTTTTGCTTGAATTTCAAGTCATTTGGATAATAGATCTTCTATTAAAAATGATGGTTTGATGACAAATAACAATGGACCTGAACATGTGTCTTTTAACACATGATTTATCAGGTATTTTAACAATGCATTAAAGTGAGTGGTCCTTATACTGCTTTCTGAAACACTAAGCAGCAGTTTGTTCATTAAGGACAACTTATTGTTCAAGAACACAGGTTTTAAGATAATGTCATTTTTAAAATAGTAAAAACAGATACAGGCTTTGGAGCATTAGCAAGGGACAAAAGCTAATATTCAAACTGCACATAGAAAACTATGGAATAAAGACTTCAAATTACATTCAAGTAGAGATTCACAGCAGGGAAGGGAGGTGAAACCGTCTTTCTAAAATAGTTCTAGATTCCATTTTTTCCGCATTGCAAACATTTAAGTACCCCAGGGAATCATTGCTGTTGAGTACATACATGCATTTCAGATTTAGATACATTAGCAAATCAAGTTCTAAAACTAACAGAAATAAATATAAATTCCAGATGTTAAAGAGGAAAGTGTCAGAAATTCTCTTAAGTACATTCAATTTCCATCTTTATCATTTATTGAATCCCATTCCAAGGGACTTCCAGTGAACAATCTGACTAAGTTCAATCTATTTCAGTCCATCTTAAAGACAGTTATTAAAGCCCCTGTACAACTTCTCCAAAGTGATCCAGATTCTTAGAAAGCTATCTCTGAGTTCCAGAACCAGACTTTTGCCCATCTGCAAACACTGAGTGGAAAAACTGGTGAAATGGCAGGAAGCAAAGGCAAGAGGTGGACCACTCCCTCACATTCCACAGAGTTCGGTTCTGTTGAAGTTTGTGAACTTTGATAGAAGATTTTTGGATTGAATCCCAAGGAGTGGAGAAGAATCACATCTTAAACAGGACAAAACTGTGGAAATCTACTGATCCTTAGAATATTATAACTGCTGAAAGAAAAGTTATCTTCAATAGTGGTACCTCTTGAGACACTGCATCTATAAGGCAATATGCATAGGTAGAATGGGAATGGTCATACTACGCCATCAACACTAGTTCACTACAGTGTGGTATATTCCGCTTGCGTATGCTGACTGTACACATGTAGTATCAAAAAAGGAACATTCATGATCATGCATGTAGGTGTTGTGCATACATTGGGACAAAGGGTGGGCAGCACACTCAGCCCTGGATATAGGCAGAGTTCTTATTCTTTCTTCCCCTCCCAAGCATATGTTGTTGTGTACATGCACGTGTTGTGTGTTAAGGGCTATTAACATTGTCCATTTGATGTATATGATAGGAAAAGAAAAGCCATTGTTGTACAGTTGTCATGGATGCTTTTACACATGCTGAATAATGCACCTTAATGTACTTTCAGTGCACTTTGCAACTGGATTTTACTGTGTGAAATAGCAACATCCACTTGCAAACAATTGTGGATTGAAATGCATTATTCCATGTGTGTGAAAGTGCCTAGTGTCAAACGAAGGCTGCGGTCACACGTAACAGAAGCCACACAAGTGAGACGGAAGACAGCCGGAGTTTCCGGGCGCGATCTCACCAGCACATCTGGGAAGCGTAGCACTCCCGTGGCTCAACCGAGGCTTCCAGCCGAAACTGCGTGGCAAAAAACTAGTACCTTGGAGGTACTAGTTTCCGGAAACTGCGGGGCAAGGGCGGGCGTCTGATCGCGTTTCCGGTGGCATCCGGCGCCCGCCCATGTCCCCTTGCAAATAAGGTGGGTTTTTTTGTCCAAGTCTCTGTGGATGCGCATGCGCACCCAACGGAGCATGCGCATTTGTCATGTACACAAAAATAAAAAACAGTTTGCCGCGGCGCGCGCTTCTTCATTGCGCGCCGGCTTGTCCTGTGATCGGCACCTCTCCCTTGCCATGGAACCTCCATGGAACCTCCACGGTACCTCCACAGGAGGTCTGATCACGTAACTGCGCAGTAGTTTGCCCCAGGGCAAACAGCCACGCTTCTCCTCTGCAGTTTCCTGCCCGTGTGACCGGGGCCGAAGTCTAGGGAGGTTTGATCTTGGAGTCTATGTCTTCATTCTACTTGTATTGTGCTCTACTCTTTGTGGGGGCAGCAGGCCCATAAGCCGTGATTTTTTGGCTTGTGGGGCAAATTTTTTTGGGGTGGGGCTGAAGTTCTCAGTGCAGAAAGAAAACCCAGAATTCTGAGGATTATGACTCAGCTACTGTGGAATCAAGCCTTTTAGAATCAAAGCATAGAGACTTCTGCAAATCTTAGCCCCAGAGTGTGACAATAGCAGATGGGGGGCGGGGGGAGAATAAATTTTCTGGTAGATGGTAAGCATGGCACTGGAAGTATTTAACAGGGTTTGGCCAGTAAACTCACTCCAGTTTGTATAAAAACACATAAAATTTTATTTACAAAAACAGAGGACAAACAACACAGATGGGGAAAGAATGTATACTGTTCAACAAGGAATGCAAATCAAAACAAAAGACCTAGTTGGCTATTCTACTCATTACTTCTCCTATCAGGCACGTGGCTCAGGCAGTCTCATTTGGCCTGATGAGCAGAATCCCTGGAAGCATAGCAGCAAGGTGGAAGTTGAAGAGAGCTTCAAGGCAGTCTCTTCTCTCTCTCACTAAGTCTTCTCAAGCTGTCTGTTCTATGTAGGTGTTCTTAACCATTTAGCCAATCGACAGCTGTTACCAGGATAGATCTCTACATTGCAAGCTGTCAACCACTTTAGATGACAGTTCTCAGCTGCTGCAAGTGAATCGCTTTTGCTAGACTAAGCAACAATTCTGATAACAAGCCGGCAGGTGGGGGTGATGACTTCTGTAGTCAAGAAAGCTAACACTTGGGCAGAAAAACTCTCTTAAAGTAGACCAGTTTCTTGACACAAAGTTAGAAGGTATCCTAGAGGTCACCTACTTCAACCCTCTTGCTCAGTGCAGGGATTAGTCAATTACAGCACCTCACTCTGCTTAAAGGAGCACACGCCTTTAACAATGTTTAAAGATGATTGAAAAAAGCACTTACAGGATACATTCTTGTGGGTCTCTGCCTGTAAGAAAGGAGGTGGAGCATACTCTGCAGTAGAGGACCACACCCACAACAAAAGATTCAGATCTGGTTCAGATCTGGTTATTTGAAAATTAGGTTGGTACTTTGCTGCACAAAGTCTGTTCTCTGCCCCTTATTTTGCCTGTGGACACGGGCAGCATTGCAGTCTGGCCCCATCAACCACATCTTTTGCTTCACTCCTTTCTTTTGCTCTGACATGATAAAGCTTGGATTGATGGTGAAGATCTTCTAAATGATGTATCTTCCTTTGGCTATATAAACCGATTTCTAGTAAATTAGAAGTGCAAACACAAAAACTCTCTTCTGTTGTTTGATTGTCCCAGTGATTTCCTCTTGTGCACAACCCTAAAACACATTCTGGACAGTTTAAATTATGTTTATATTTCTGGTTGAATGAAAAGGTGAGTACTATTATAGGCAATGTAAAATATATGTTAGTCATTCTACTTTCCTCTCCACTATTTATGTTTGTGTCTTATTAATACAGCAATGGCATGGAGAAACATTATTTTAAAAAATCAATCTTGTATACAAACGATTTTCCAGGGAGATACAGAGATCTGCTTAGTCATGTCCCTGTCGGTATCTTTAATACCAACATTGACCCTGGCAGCCTAATGTCACTCAGAAGACTCTTTATAGAAGAAGCCTCTGAAGGCTGCAGCATCCTGTAGTTTTGTCCATTAGTATTCTGAATCAAGTTTACATCAGTGAGTGATGACACTGCAAGGCAGCAGATGGCAAGTAGATCGTAATATGTGCAGAAGCACTGATAAGGTGTTCAACAAACAGGCTTGAATGAACACTTGAATCTTAATTGTTTTGGGGAATATATAGCGGGGAGGCAGAAATGTGCCCTCAAATGGTAGAATATTCTGTATAAAAAATAATGTGGTAAACATGTATGTTTCTGCTTTCGAGCTCTTGTGCTGGTTTTACTTCTGTTAATTGGTTTATTTTTGTTTTCTCAAGGGACGGGGTGGCATCTCTGAGTTACCGCGTCCTGGATGATCAAGACAGGATTCCTGTTGTACAGATTGATGAGAGAGGCCTTCTTCATTCTGGGTCCCTGATAGGACTGGCAACAGTAGAAGTAATTGGGCAAGAGTCATTTGGAATCAACCAGACCCTTATTGTTGCTGTCAAGGTAGTCTTTTTCAGGCTCTTTTCCACATGATTAGAATGCCATTTGCTGTGTTTAAAACTGTAGTTTAACATTGTTTCATCTGAGGAATTTAATTGAAACTTCCACTGTTGAAAGTATAAAGTAAGCAGAGTACCCATAGATTATTTTGAACAGAATAGCAAAGTATTTGTTGTAGATTTTCTGGGCTGTATGGCCGTGGTCTTGGCATTGTAGGACCTGACATCCTCAGACGTATAACACAGAAAGATGGAGTACTCTCTGTGTCAATGTGAGAAGAATAATGGTAGGCGGGTAATTTATATCTACTCAGGAAGGTGGAGTAGGTCTGTGTCGGTCGCGAAGAGTCGGACTCGACTGTGCGACTGAACAACAACAAGTGCTGTTGTAAGATGTAGAGCCTTTTGTGTTTTTCAGGACAGAAAACCATGCCCTATTTATTTTTAAACTCTCTTCTTTCCTATTGAAATTGTGTTTATGTTCATGAATTTCAATGGCTTCCCTGTGTAATCTGACATGGTAATTGGATGTGTTGTCCAGCATTTCAGTGTCTTGGAATAAGATACTGTGTCCTGTTCGAGTTAGGCTATGTTCAGAATAGCAAAATGTTTCAGGATTTTAACACAATGCACTGAACTTTTCCAAACCTCATACTGGTGACCAGTATGGATATACACATGATGTGGTGCTTACTGATATTTGAATCTTATTTACTGTTCAGAAATCTACAACCACTACTGAAAGAAAATGTGATACTTAAACATCATTTTGTGTATAATATAATGGATAAGCCTTTCAGACCAAATGCAAGTGTTGGTCGGTTTTTTTGGTCTTTTAAAGCCTTTGTGCTTGAAAATTGTAGATTTTTGGTAACCATTGCTTCAGGCTCATGATCTTGGTACCTTGAGAAAATGCACCGCAAAATATGTAATCCTCAATCTGAAGCCATGGTTGCACTCTTTTTTTTGGCCCCCCGAAGGGGATTTTTTTATTGCATTTTTAATAGACTACAAACTACAATGAAAAGTTAGGAAGGGAGAAAGGAAAGAAAACCACTAATAACTAAACCCCCAAGAATAGGAGACTGTAACAACAGCTTATATAAATATTAATCTTAAATTGCTAGTATTACTTTGAACATAGTTGGTTATGCTAAATTATTTATATTTTTATTCATTAATTATCTGTTTAAGAGAACCCAATGAGCATTCTCCAGTATATATAATCCTGTTTTGGTCATGGACTCCCCTGAACATTCCAACACGCTCAAAATCAGTTCGCTCTCTGATCTGTCATTCAGAGGGTCTCCCTATCTGCTGCCTGCTTTGCCTGAGTCCTGCCTCCAACATTCTAAACAGTTTGCTCTTCCTCTCCCCCCCACAGCCTGTCAGAACACAGAGGTCATTTGCATATGTGGCCTGATTCATCTTTGCCTCGGGACACAGAGGTCGTTTGCATATTCGGCCTCACTGGCCTTTCCCTCTAACATTCTAAACAGTTTGCTGTTGATGTTCTGAGGTAAAATAAATTTCCCCTTAGTGTCTCTTAGGGGAAACCATGGTTGCAAATCTCCAGGTGAGGGCTAAAGATCACTCCGAATTACAACTGCTTTCCATATGGCAGAGATCAGTTCCCCTGGAGAAAATGGTGGACTCTGTGTCCTTATATCCTGCTGAGATGGCCCCTGTATGACAGCCAATGTGACGTAACAGTCAGGGCTTCAGCTATTAAAACTGATGTCCAGATGACCCAGATCAGTTCTCTTGGAGACAATGGCTGCTTTGGGCAGTAGATTCTATGGCATTATACCCTGCTGATGTCCAGCAGAGGGCGCAAGGAATCTGCCAACATTTTGGAGAACTCAGTGACCTCTTCCTGTCGAGGGCTCATGCCCCTCGCTGGTTTCACTTTTGCTAGTTTGTCTTTCTCTGCCTTCTTCCCCACCATCTTTATGGATGGTTTACTTTTGTGAAAACTTGCTAAAGTCTCTGAAACTCGCCCATACGCCTATCCGCACTCTGGTAAGTCTCTAAAAACATATTTCAACGCTTTTTCTTCCACTCCCCCCTTATTGTACCATTTTTAGTTCATACATATGGGAGGGGCCCCTCCCCCACTCGCTTTGCCCCGCTCGCTTTTCTTGCCGTTCCCAGGGGGGAGCTTTCTTTTTAAATTCCTGTATTTGCTTTAACCCAACTCACTGTTCATTGTTGAGTTTAAAACACTCAATCTCAGACGCTTGTCCTGGTCAGCGGCTCTAGATCCATACGGACACTCAGCGGCAGGACCGTCGGGGCAGAGGAGCGCCTCAATTCCCCAGCATCGCGCTCGCAAAGAGGTCACCTCTCAAAAGCCCAATTGCTAGGAGCCTTTTGCCAAGGCTATGGGGGGGGGTGGCAACCTGTCGCCCCCCTCCTTTCCACTTGTGCGCAGATCACATCCTCGGGAGGTCCGGGAGATGCGTCCGCCAGCATGTCGCCATAAACCGGAAGTCTGCCATGGTTGCACTCTAAAGTGCTATCAGACCTGTATGTTGACCAGGATAAAGTCCCTTCTTGGAAACAAAAGCTAATAATGGGGAAACCCTGGATTGCCTTTTTATGAACATGCCCTCTCTTTCTCTCTGGATCAGCAATCTAAAGAAGAAGGTTCTAGTGCAGTGCATGGAATGTTAAAATGTCTTATAGAGACTACAGCTGCATGCTATGCTGTGTATTTTTTTATCTCCATGAATCACTGTTTGAGTACACTGGCAATCCAGTAAGAGAGATATGCATTGTTAGGGAATAATTTTGCATGCTTGAAGGACAGATGAGGTAAGACTGAAGCTTCAGGAGAATCAATTATTTGGGAAGAGCTTTTTGTGCCTGTTACTTGATAAGGGAGCTTGCCTGATTCCTAAAATCAGGGCTACCCAAGGATTTTGTTTTCAGACCATCCTTTGGGCAATGATGTGTCCTATGCTCCTTCCTCATATTCATCCACAATAGACAGGAGGAAAGGGAGTGCCCTGGTATGTAGCTAATGCCCAATGGGAAAGACAGTTGTTTCTATTCTGGTTGAAGCATACTCTCTGTGCCATGTAACTGTACTGAAGAGTCTTTAAGAACAATAAACAGCTAGGGATGTCCATTTGGATATTTACAATCTGAATTTGTATCTCTGAAAAATATGCTGTTGATATTTTCCAGATATAATTGAGTCTTTGGATGGAATCTGGGATTTTTCGAGATACTGGGGAATGGGTCCTGAAAAATCGTAGAAGTATTCAGGAGTAACTAGGGATATCGGGAGCCAGCATTTTAAGGTTCCCAGGGCTGTGTTTCTTTAATTCCACTGTATCTCTTGGTCCTGCCAGGACTTTGTATGTACTTGCCATGTTGGTTTGGCTTTGGCTTAAGACCTCTGGTCAATGAAGCTAATAAATGAAAGGAAAAGTTTAGCTTTGAGTCCATCTTTTGAAATTGGTTTTGTTGGTCTTGCAATGTTGTATCCTTTTCTCAAGTTGGTTTACTTAGGGGTTTGAGGTTTGCTTTGGATTCTCTAGTTCAACATTAGATTTCATTCCTGGCCTGTACATTGGTTTAAATTCTCTATTTGACTTTTGTGCTACAGCATTCCTTATTAAATGAGTTTGGCTTGGAGAATTCTCTGATATGACATTGGCTTAGTTTTTCTGACTTGACATTTGTTGTGTTAGGCTTACCACAGTTTGGTGTAGTGGTTAAGTGTGCGGACTCTAATCTTGGAGAACTGGGTTTGATTCCCACTCCTCCACTCACAGCTGCTGGATGACCTTGGGCAAGCCATAGTTCTGTCAGAGCTGTCCTTTAAAGGGCAGTTTTTATCAGAGCTCTTTCAGCCCCACCTACTTCACAAAGTGTCTGTTGTGGGAAGGGGGAGGGAAAGGAGTTTGTAAGCCGCTCTGGGACACCTTTGGGTAGTGAAGTGTGGGGTATAAATCCAACCTCCTCCTCCTCCACATTGTCCTGTACTTCTGCTGGGATTCCCTGAATCTGCATTGGTTTTGGGGCTTGTTGGTTCTGATCGTGGAGACTTTTGGTCAGTGGTTGCTTTGCTTGCTGTTGTGTTTTTGACTATTCTTTGCGCCGAAGAAAGCATGGAATTTTCTCCCCATGGGAAACAATGGAAGATGACTTGGAGGTCCCTTGTTCAGGGTCCAATTCATTTGAAATCTGGGGTTATTTAGTGAACAAGCACCAGCCGCCCCACTGCAATTTTGGTGCCATTTGCTCAAAAAACAGCCATTCAGCCCTCCAGAAAGATTTGCCAAAGGGAATAATGGAGCCAAATAATAATGAAATCTGGAGATTTGGAGCCCAGATAACTGGGAATACAGACATTTTTCGGTGCTTTTATATCTGGATCTGAAAAATACTGATTCTACCACCACCACCACCCGCAATAGTGTGCATCCCCTTAAGCAGCCCTGTTTCATGCTTCTCCAAAGTAATGGCTTGGGGGTCTTCTGAAACAATCGAATACCATATCCCTAGAACAGTAATTTCCAAGCAATTATGCAAGATACACTCTTATGCAATGAGAAAACTGCCAGATTTCCACAGTAATTAAATTAATTAAATAATAAATCCAAAGTACATTCTAATAGAGCAGTCTGCTCCTTGCCTTTGTATTCAGTTCAACATTGAATGTCCTTCTTTACAGCCCCCTGCAGAGGAAGCAGAATTCTGCACTATCTTTGCATTTAGATTGAATAACACTTTTGCAGGGAACACAGAATGACCTGTCCACAGAAACTGTTAAAAATCTGCATGACTCATTCTTCTGTCTTATTTATTTTATTTACATTATTTATAGTCTGCTTTTCTCACTTGGGCTCACAGAGGGAGTCCATACAATCGACAGATGGGACATTCAATAAACAGTGTAATAGGATTAGGGGTGTAGAACCAACCAGGAGTCTAAAAACAGAACTGCAGCAAAGCATAAGTATTAACATGACACATTAAATGATACAAAATTCTATAGCAGGATCCTACTTTCAGCAAGTTACACACAGTAGCATGGACCACAGTCCCTGATAATTTTTCTAAGTAACTTTGTGAATTATTTAGTACAGTGCAAGTCTGTTGCCAGCACAGAAAGGCTCTCTTGAATAGTTCAGGTTTGCATGGTTTGCAGAAAGCCACGAGAGTGGAAGCCTTCCTGACCTCTTCATGCAGGCTTTTCCAGAAGATAGGGGCCACACTGGAGAAGCCACATGTATGGGCAGTCGTTGATTTTGCCCATTGGCAGGTTGGCAGCTGCAGAAGACCCTGCTCTGATGATCGAAGCCGTCATAATGGATCATGGAGGGAGAGGTGGTCTCACAGATATGAGCGTTCAAGGCCATGAAGGGCTTTGTATGTGATAGTTAATACCTTAAATAGAGCTCGTTAACTGATGGGCAGCCAGTGAAGTGCTTACAGGATGGGAGTAATATGTTTGCTCCATCTAGCTCCCGATAATAGCTCAGCCACAGAATTCTGCACCAGTTGAAGTTTTGGAATTGATTTTGAAGGAAGACTAATGTACAGTGCATTGCGGTAGTCTAGTCTCAATTTTACTGTGTCATGGATTCAGGTGACTAGATCAACTGTATCAAGGTAAGGGGTCATCTTTTGGACTAGGCTCAATTGGAAGAAAGCCTTTTTTGCAACTGCATTAACATGCTTCACCAGTAATAAAGCTGGGTCCATTATAACACCATGGCTCTTAACGGAGTCAGCAAGGGTCAGCTGAACTCCATTAAAAGTGAAGATGAAGATGGGTAGCCCTGTTAGTCTGTCTGTAGCAAAATTTGTGGTAGGGTAATGAGCTTTTGTTCTAGCTGTATCTGAAGAAGTGAGCAGTGACTTACAGAAGCTCATACCCTACCACAAATATTATTAGTCTTTAGGGTGCTACTGGACCCTTACTCTTTTCTTCTTCCATTAAAAGTGGGGAGCACAATGCCTTCCCAACCACTATTACCTCTGTCTTCTCAGGGTTTAGTTTAAATTTGTTCACTCTTAGCCATTTTACCAAAGCATCCAGGCAGTTATTCAGAACCTCTGCCATGTCACCAGGAGATTTGGATAAGGATGTATAGAGCTGAGTCTCATCCACATATTGATGACATCCAACCACAGAGCTATGAATGATTTGTTCTAAGAGTTTTCCATGGAGATTGAAAAGCATGGGGGTAGGACTGCACCCTGTGGAACTCCACAGGATAGGTCCCACACTGATGACAACTGGTCTCCTACAGCAACCCTTTGAGTCCAATCTTTGAGGAATGATTTGAACCAGTTTAGCATGCTTGCCTTACTTCTGCCACCCAGCACCTTGACAAGATGGCATGATCTACTGTGTCAAAGGCTGCAGATGTTATGCAAGAGCAACAAGGAGGCATAGCTTTTGTCTACAGTCAAAAGGAAGTTGGCTAGTAAAGCTAGCAGAGGCATCTCTGTCCCATAACCTGGCCTGAAACCAGACTGAAAAGGGCCTGGATGAGTTATCCAAGAAGACCTGGAGTTGGTCTGCTACTCTTCTCCCAACCATTTTGTCCAGAAAGGGCAGGTGAGAGAGCAGACTATAATTGGCCACATAATTTTTCTGTAGAGATTGCTTTTTAAGTAGCTGATGGGTTACTTTTTGTAGGCACAGAGGAAATTGGCACCTAAGAATTTCTTACTCTTGAATGCCCAAAAAATACACATCGCAGGTAGAAGTATATATACAACTCTATTTCAGAAAATGTGTGCCTGGACTGTTAGAAGTTTGGAAATTTCTTGTCAGGAGCTAACACCCATCCCCAACTCAGCTCCACCCCAGCTGCTCCAGCTGAGGACAGCTTGGGGGGGAGGGGCTGACTCACCCATGTGAGGAAGGCTGGGAGAGGGAGGTGTCTGGAACTCAGGCAGGTTACTCCAATACAGTTGAGGACAAGACCAGGAGACTGTATAGTAACTTAAGACGTGTTTCTTGCTTGCTTTGTTTTTCAAAGTTATATTAACACACATTTCAAAATGCTCTAGAAATGGAACAATGTATCTGGGAGAAAGGAGACAGATACTAATAGTTCAGCTTGCAATATGTATGAGTAGTGCAAAAAGCTATATATACCAATATTTAGCCACATTTTAGAGCTTCTAAAGATGTGCGCTTTAGGGCAAATCTGTCCTTTCCTTTTAGAGTTTTGACATGTAACATAAAACTCTATCAGACCCTCTTAGGGCAGAAAAAGAAAAAGACTTTGTTACAAGGTGGATTTAGAGGGAGGGAGGGAATTTACCATGCTGCATTTGTGCCACTCCCCCCCCCTTTTTTGTGTCATCTCTATTTTTTCCCTAAGCAATACGAAATGGCTCAATTTCTCTTTCTCCCTTTTTGATAGTTAGTCTAGATAAGTAATCTTTGATAATCTGTTGTATGTTAATAGTGCTGCAGGTGCCTGTTGGCTTTTTGAAAGGTAGTACTAGACTAAGAGGATGAAACACAGAAACATGAAGCAGGTATATCAGGCCTATGCTGCCTGACCTATAGAACCAAGTGCAGCCAATGGCAGTGTACTGTCACTTACCAGGTGCTTGGCAATCCATTTGTTTTTGCAGTCACAAGCAGACAGCAAAACGAAAGATTTACTGAGCCCTGGTAGAGTCCTTCAGCTCAGGCAATCTAAAGTTCAACAGGCCTGAGACAGGTGCTGATTTAAAATCAGTTCTATGTAGGACTAATCTATCCCTGTGTTTGAAATCTAAGGATTAAGAGAACCTGTCCTTCTAATACATTCTTTTTTTTTAATTCGTATTTTCACATATCTTTATGTAGAGACCTGGTAAGTCATGTCACAATGTTATTTAATGTTTTTAAACTGATTACTCATAGGACAGCTGAAATTTTTACTTTCCACAGTTTATAAGCCATGCTTTGATTAAACTTCAGCTTAGTGTGAAACATGGATACATTCTGCCCAACAGACTGTGGGCGATTTCGCACTAGAGCTGCCTCGTGGTGCAGCCGCTGTTTGCCCCGACACAAACATGTCAATTTCACACCCAAAGCTGCGGGGCTGCATTTTGACTCGCGGCTTCGCCCAATTTCCTCCACAGTTTCGTGATCCTGGTTTTTGAGGATCATGAAACTGCGGAGGAAATCGGGTGAAGTCGCAGGTCAATGCAGCCCCGTAGCCTCGGGTGTGAAATTGACATGTTTGTGTCGGGGCAAACGGCGGCTGCGACGTGAGGCAGCTCTAGTGTGAAATCACCCAGTGTTTTTGGTGGGTGCTAAACTGAGGGCTTTTCCACATGGGTTGGAAGGGGCGGTTCTGGCCCCATACTGCTTCAGTTTATCCCCCTGATTTCCATATTCATTTTTGTGCTTTTTGTTTTCATTTTGGTATGTTCCCCCCCCCCAGTTTTCATCTGCTACTGAATGAAGCTTTAAAAAGCAGGAGAAGATGGATGAGAGGACTTTAAAAGATTGTTTTGTAACTTTCAGGATTTCAGGATTCAGTAAAGCAGCTGCACAGGAAAAGACTCACAAACAGTTATGGAAAGAGGCTAAAATGATATAACTACTGATGGACTTTACCTATCAAATGCGTGTTAGGCAACTAGAAAATTAATTTCAAATTCTGTTTTCTATTGGTCATACCATACAGGTGGCTCCTGTTTCCTACCTTAGAATATCCATGAGTCCAATTCTCCACACAAAAAACAACGAGGTATTAGAGGCCTTACCTTTGGGAACAACCATGACTTTGACAATCCACTTCCATGATAATTCTGGAGATATCTTCCACTCACAAAATTCTGTGGTCAGCTTTGCAACAAACAGGTAATTGCTAGTAGCCAGAGTTAAGTGTTGTAGGAGGCATAAGTATGTGCAGTATGTGCTTTTATATGAGGTATGGTGCCTCAGCAAGTGGTGTCCCCTTTGGGGCAGTTGCATAAGCAGAACTGAAAAACTGAGGGATGCGGCATAAAACTAGTGGGGTGATGTGATCCTATCAGATTGCTCATATGGAAGAAACTTCATGCTGTTCTTTCCATGCTTGACTGTCAATATCAATATTATTAGTCACATGTTCACTCATCCGTCCCCCAGGGAACTCTGAGGGTTTTGCATGACTCCCTCTTTTATTCACATAACCCTGTGAAATAGATTAGGTTGAGAGATTATGACTAGTCCAAGGTCACTGACCTCATGGCAGGTTGGGAATTTGAATCCAGATTACCCCCAATGCTAGCCTAACCACTATGGCTCTGATCACGAGAGGTGATGGAAAGGAGAAAGGAGTTTGACTAACTTCTGTACCAAGTTGAGAGCCAGTTGGTGTAGAAGAAGAGGAGGAGGAGGAGTCTCAGAGCGGCTTACAAACTCCTTTTCCTTCCCCTCCCCACAACAGACACCCTGTGAGGTGCGTGGGGCTGAGAGAACTCTGACAGAAACTGCTCTTTTTCAAGAACAGCTGTTCCAGAACTATGGCTTGCCTGAGGTCATCCAGCAGGTGCAAGTGGAGGAGTGGGGAATCAAACCCGGTCCTTCCAGATTACAGTCTGTGTATTTAAGCACTACACCAAACTGGCTCTGTAGTGGTTAGAGTGTCAGACTAGGATCTGGGAGATCCAGATTTGAATCCCCGCTCTGTCATGGAAGCTTGTTGGATGACCTTGGGCCAGTCATACACTCTCAGCCTAACCTACCTCACAGGGTTGTTGTGAGGATAAAATGAAGGAGATGAGAATGATGTAAGCTACCTTGGGTCCCCATTGGGGAGAAATTTAGGGTGTAAAGAAAGTGAATTTTTAAAGAGAGTAATTTCCAATAAAACGATTAAATAAGTCCCAAGTTATAATTCACTTGCTGGAAAAGACAATAATGCTAGGGAAGTTTGGTCACAGAGGGAAAGAGGAAGATCCATGTTGGCATAAGATGGACTGACTCTATCAAGGAACAGCCCTCTGTTTGCAAGACCTGAGCAAGTCTGTTAACGACAGAATGTTTTGGAGAACATTAATTCATAGGGTTGCCCTAAGTTGGAAGCGACTTAACGGCACTTAACACATACGTAATTCACTTGAAACATTGTGATGGACTATTAACTATTCAAGTTATTTTGTTTGCTTAAGAAAAAAAGGTATTGTTTAAATTCTAGCACAACATTTTTCCTAAGCACAGTAAGTGCCGCTCCAGGCAGCAGAGAAAACAGAGTACAATAGCATAGAATTCAATGAAGAAACTCCTTGAATACATATGAGTAACAGGGATTCAATAGAACCTTGCCCTTTCTTTCCACTTTGTGGGCAATACTGGTGAATCAGTGTGCCTTGACATTCTTAACCATATGAAGATTTTGGTGCATGTGTCTCAACTATAAATTGATTGAAGGGGGGGGTTGCCAACTGCTGGTCTAGGAGGAAACCAAAGTAGAGTAGAAGCAAGTATGTCTGAGTTCTTACAACATTTTTAAAAGATTATTTGAATCAGAATTAGAGCTATACAAACTGGGAACCCACAAGGACTTGTGGAGTGGCATCTCATTTTCTTCTCCCCCAGTATTTCCTCTTTTGCTTCCTTGATAGCCCCCATAACCTCCCTCCTTTTCTTACTTCCTTTATGTCCTTACCATCCACCAGCCTTTATCTTGCCCCCCATCTTCCTATCTTCTCTCCCCCTGGCTGCCTCTACTTGGAGAAACTATGGCAAAGCTGTGCAGTGCTGGTTGGTGGGAAAGACCCACATGCATGGCAATGGCAAGGAAGCCAGAAAGACTTGTGGGGAGGGGCATGTTCCTTTCACTGAAACCCCCCCCCCAGTATTTCC